TTTTTTTTTTTTCAAAGTCACACGCCGCACAGTGAAGTTTTTCTTTGCCAGGTTTTCCACACAATTCCCACATTAGATTTCCACGAATCTGATCAGAAATCTGGTTTTAAAAAGGCAGCATCAAAGCTGCACATGCGTAACGGGCTAAATCCCTACATATTTGCTCCTCCAATCTGCATTGTGTTGTATTGTACCTTTTTTTTTTGGGGGATTCGGACAGTTTCTCTGATGGAAATGAGGGCACAGGTGCAAGCAGAGAAACACGCTGAACTGTGTAAGGTAAATCAAGCCTAAAATAACAATGAGAAATCCTACTTTACAACCATCGGCAGTAGATCTGAACACCTTACATGACTCTACCCCCAGTACTGTTTGTTTAGGTCCTGCCATTAGTTTGCCCCATTTGTCCCAGACAGAGAGCCTGTATGGAGAGCTTTATATCCACACGACTGCTGTCCGTCTGAGCATGATAGCTAACAATAACCTGCGAACAGTTTTTATTTAGAAAAAAAAAAAGGATAAAAAACTTAACAAAAACTGTGCAAGGCACCAATTACCACTATTATACAGTCAGGCTTTGAAAAAATCCTTTTAAAATAGTTTCAGACTACAAATTTGTTGATCTTGACATGTATTATTGGTAGTATAATGTAGTCTTTGTGCTTTTTTTTTGTTATGTCACGTTTCTCTGGAGATAAAAGAACAATGAAATTGTAAAGTTTGGTGATTTATGGCACCCTAAATGACAAAGCTTTGAAATAAATCACCACTTGTGGCCCATTTGGCTCTAGAAGGATCCTGTTTTGACTCATCTTTTTTGTTGTGACTTTTTTTTACTGGTAGTACAGCCGTGTAGTGGCTAGATCTGTCACCTCACAGCAAAAAGATGCAGGCTTGCCTCCCAGCTGGGGCTTTTTTCTGTGTGCAGTTTGCATGTTCTCTCTGTGCATGTGTGGGTTTTCTCTAGTTTACTCCCACAMACCAAAACCACGCTTGCTTGGTTAATTGGTAACTGAAAAATTTCCCTAGGTGTGAGTGAGAGTGTGAAAGGTTGTTTGTATTGTTTGTCACTATGTGACCCTGTGATGGCCTTGGGACCTGTGCAGGGGGTAAAGAAAATGGAGAGTGGGTGGGGGGGCTTTCGTGTCAGTTTTAAACTATAATCAGCTCAAATGGAGAAACGATGGAGTTGTACTGTAGTTGTTTTGGTCAAACCTTGCAAAAAAAGGTTATGCATATTCTTATGCAATATCACAAGATGTCATACTTAAAGTACTTGCTGTGATCACTTTCAGCAACCAAACCAGATTAGTTAAAACCMTTGTTCTGTGACTTAAAGTCTGTTYGATGTGGCGGTCATTGTAAATTGGTTTGACTGCAAGAATAAATGAGATGTAGATGTACACGCAGTGATTATTTTCTGTAAGTTTCATTAAAATCCACACAAGGCTTCATGAGACCTTTTGGAAACAGACACACAAACAAAAAAAGCATGTTCATCTGCCTTTGCTTACCAAGAACAAACAAAAGCAGGTTGTTTTTTTTTAAACCATGCATCTCATTCAGAGCATTGTTTTACATCTCTTTTTGTAAATGACTTTATTTAGGCTTTTGGCTTTTATTTA